AACAGTCTTACCAGAGTTTGGTTTAGTTAGACCAAAAGTATAATGCAAGAGAATGCGCCACTTTAATGCGCCACGAAGTTTACTTCACCAAACTCGAAATATTAAACTGAAAATAGGAATTTGGTGTAATTTCCGAAGAGTCTGATCGTTTCAACCATTTATGGGGTATTTTATCCATTTTACAAATACAGACAAGGTCAATTAATATTTAAAAGACAATCACCAAAACCAAAAAAAACAACACAAAACTGGTCATACTGGGTGGAAACTAACAAACATGTGCAATTGTGAAAAACCTTAAAAGAGAGATGTTGAACTTTATAGTTGGTGTTTACCAGTACCTGGTGACTGGCATATGCTGAAAATAGGGGTTCTAAAAAATGTATTGTGGGATGGCGGTATGAAAGAGTTAACAAAGATATGTGGTCATCAAAATCCAGATGCTTTATATCAGTGGCAAGATGCTCACAACCTTTTATGCTTCTTGCATGACAGAAATGTTATGGAGGGAAACAAATATGTCCATGCCAAAATCTTATGATAGAATTATGACCAAATATCTCGGTTTTCATATAGTTCATTCATTGCATTTTCTGAATGCATACATGGGTATGTACATAGCAATGCGTTCAGGTAACTGGTTTCTCCGCATTGTATGTATGAAGGTGTTGGCACGATTTTTTTCGCAGACAGATATGAAGAACTGGTTGCCAATACACAATTATGATACAGTTTTCCCCCCGACATCTTGCAACATTTTGAAAATGGGAAATGGACAATGAGTCTTACAGGAAACCTTGTCATAACCTTGCCCTTGATGAAGGACATGAGTGAGTGTGTTATAAATAGACGGTTAAAACAGTTAACCAAACGTCCTTCCCATTTTCAAACTGTCACATTATCAGACTTAATGGTATACCTGGTGAACGTACTGTGGTTGTTTGAAGGTCACATTTTCAAGTTTACCAGTAAAATTTCACAATACACTAAACAGTCCAGTAATCCTTAAAGAGTGAAACGTATGAGACAGGAGATAAATAAAGTTTGTTTACCTTCCAAAGTTACACCCAGAATACTTGTCAATCCTTTCCGCAACAAAGCCCCAGTACTGACTGGCAATATGATAATTGACCTGCCTATGATACAAATTGAGGGGCAAAAAAGGTTTCTAAAATATGTCTGGCGGTATGAACTGGAAATTGAAAATAAGCAAAAACGGAATAGACTTAGCACTTTCACACCAAATAAAAACGAGAACACAAACGAACACAACAGTCTACTTGTCTACTTTGCAAAAACTTAGAACAATAATTAGATGCACATATGCAATTATGCGTGAACAGGGTATAAATTTGGAACAAAGTGCACCCTTGCATTATCTGATACGTCAGTTGGCATGAGAAAAAGATTCAAGACAAATTTCAATAAGGCAATGGAGCAGTTAGAGTTTGGTGGTCTTTCAAATCTGAATGTTTCTTTTTCAGAGAGCCATTGCACACTGAAATTATCGTTGATGTTTTACGTGTCATCCATAAAGGGCCTCTTCCTGAGTGCAAGAATTACCGTTCATATGGTAAATACTTTTACAACAAAATTGTTCTTGAACATGGCTTCAAAAGTGGTGCAATTAGAGTTACACTGGTCATTGATACGGACAGATTTCCACCCCACCTAGACAAATAGTCCATGGGGAAAGAGAACATGACAGAGCTGACCTAATTTATTATGAGTTTATTGAACTTAAAAGGGATCAGTTTATACAAGATCTGCATGACCCAGTACAGAAAGCTGCAATAATTAAGTTCATCACATGTTTGTAGCACAGCGAGGTGAAAATGAGATTCTCTGTGAGCCAGAAAAACAAGTCATCATAATTTATTGAAAATAATACAATGATAGTTTTCAGGGGTCAAATCATTAGTGGGGATTTATTTTTGGATTCAGCGAAATAATCAAGGAGAAGCAGGCAGTATTATGTGGTATTTAGCAGCTCAATCCCAATGTAACAACATACTGGTAAGTGCCACTGACACAGGTGTGTAGGTCTTTGGTCTAGCTTTGTATGAAGCAGGGTGGTTTGGTGATAAGAACTGTGGAATTAGTTAAGGACACTTCATATGTTGATATAACAGCTGGTGTTGCAGCCACCAAAAATAAGTTCAATTCACTAGTTATCCACAAAACCAGTGATTAATATTAATACAATTGTACCATACCTACCACTTTTACTAAACCTAAGCTTCACAAACTTGACTTAAATTCGATTAAATATTAATATAAATTATGAAAACAATGACGGTCGTCACAATGTAGTTCCTGTCGTCACAAGTCGGTGTAAAGTTAAATTGAAGTCGTCATAACCTTGGTGCCACACACGCACACAAATACAACAAATATATAGGAGGTGTTTCGAGCCTTTGACGAAAAACGCATGGCAATTATTAGAGGTTCGATCCCTATTGGTGAATCATGTAACTATGGGATTTTACGACCCAATTACTTCAATATCCTACAATTATTCAAGATAAAGTGTAAAACCACGAACTTATTGGGAGTTTGTTTTATTTTGAGAATGTCAGCCACACCATCATGAATCAATCAGATTACTGAATTCACATCACGTGGTGTGCAGATATCGAAAGTTGTCACACTGGCAAACCTTTATTACACGTGGAATTTCCATGAAAATCATACCATAGAATAACAATTAAATACACGTCGTTAAACGTTCATTAAAATACGAATGTTGTACGATACAAATGGTCGCCGAGATCACGTAAAAAGTGGGAGAGTCGCGAGACTTTTTATATTCCTGTCATGGCGTCCATCGTACGAAATAACATAATTACATAGATACAGGAAAACAGTGCACGTGATGAGGAGGAGAAAAAATAATCACGTGGCTCCTTCGCTTGCAGCGGGATATCCGGGTTGATTTCTGTTTATGGTCTATTAATCCCTGATAATATTCAAGTTTGTGATGGGACATTCTAGAAATAAAATAAAAGTGTCTGTGTTACATATAACAGACTAAATGGGTTTGACCACTTTTCTGAATCAGTAAATTGGAAAAGTCGCACATTTAGACAAAGCCACAAATGTCAGAAAAATTGTGGGTCCATTTTCTGCCCCAAATACTTCTGAGATTTGTTTGAAGAGAAAATAAAAAAAATGGGCACCGAAGATCTTTAATATAACAAATGAATTAATGAAAGAAATATTAAAGGTACGCCAACGGGTATCATAGAAGAGAAGAGAATTTAGACAATTAATTAGCATCGTATGTGTTTGGGAGTTATACATTGCACGTCACATGTGGTGATTGTGAATTAAAATACACAACTATACTAGATATGTACACAATACTTCTCTTTTATACTTAACTAATATAGTCATTAACCAATGTAGTTGTAGACTACGAGAATGGTGATAGTTGGCGTCAAGCACCGACCGAAATCGGGCAGTACGTCATGCAGCATATAGCGACGACTTCCGAATAGCATGACGTAATGTCACGTGACGTAATTTTCAATTATTTACAGATTACATGCATTGCATCTGACACGGAGTTGTTTCCCGTCTTTGATCTATATCAGTGACACTCGTGCAGAACCACAGATGAACTGAGTCGAACTAAGTGGCGTATACTAGGATATGGAAAATCCAGATAAAAAAAATCAATCTAGCTTCTTACATAATCAGCCTGGGTCAATCATTGCAGCGCGCGCACGCACACCGCTTACGCGAACTTATGACCCTATTCTAACCGGTGTTTTCATTTAGAGTGTAATCCTAATATTAAGATAAAAAATATTTTAAATGAGAATTGTAATGTATTTGCCCATTTAAGGTAGTAAAAGTAAATATGTTTTTTATGTATTTTATTTTGTATGTATTTGGTCATATCTAATAAAACAAAGGCGCAGATAGACGGTGTTTTCAATAATTTGAATAAAAAATAAGCATAATAGCGATACTTGCCGTCAGGTAATCCCTTAAAAAACATTTGTACGGCTTGTGTACAACCGTATTCGCCCATATCTAGACGGATCTCGAGGATGTCTGAATCACAGTTTTTAATACATTCTAGCCATGGCAAGGAACGGCGGGAAAGTTCCATAGAGAGTCAATATAGTTACGTGACAGAAAATAATGCCCTGAAAGTTGAACAAATTCAGAACAAGAAAGTCGGAAATTTGCGTGGAAAAACTGTAAAATGTAATGTAATGTCGGGCGAGGACCGTCGGAAAAGCTTGGTTGGAAGTCGATGTGTGGAAAATCTGTGAAAAGAAGATTTCGGGAACTTGAACCTTGTCAAAGAGAATCGCACAAGTAAGTCTAGATTTGCGCTAACCCTGCTCGTTCCAAATAAAATCATTTTTAACCGCTAAAGAAACGCAAGCAGAGAATGTATTACATTGCCCTTAGAGTGAATATCCCACCATACCCCTGTACACCAATATGTTTGAAATACGCAACTCTGTCGATAATATCTTGAATTTAATTTATATATATATATACTTTTATTACAAAAAAGTTACCCATATAATAATTACAAGAGATGTACAATACACATAGAAAGATGTATTGATGTAATACGTGCGTCGGAATACTGTAAAACATGATGTTTTAACTAATTTAGCTAATCTGTAATTTCGCTAATTCAAGATGTAGCTAATTTAACAGAAAATATATTCTCACAGGGGGATAATCGACACTTTAGCTAAATTAAGATATATGTATCGGTGTAATACGCGCGTCAGAATATACAACAAACTAGCACTAATATAAAGACTTTCCGTTTCTTTCGTTTTTGTGAAATTCTTTTGTTTTTATGGAAACAAAATATTTAATAAATGAATCTTTATTGAGTTTATTGTTCATACCTGAGTTGAACACACTTCATAGGTTGTAATTTCATTCAGTTTGTTTCAGTCATAATTCACAACAAATAATATGCGAAATATAGAGAATATAGAAAATTATGTTTTTTAATATTCATCTGTATTCGGGTAATTATGAAAATTATTACTCTGTACATTTCCTTGTGAATTGTTCTTAATATATTTCTGAATTTCCTTTCTGAATTTCTCAATGTTGAAAACGGAACGGAAACTCGTAGTGTTTAACTGTTCCCACTCCTGATAAACCACCAAAACGGGGAGATAACGTTATACATGACCGGCAAAAGTTCACACAGCCTGGTACTTCTTTAGGTACAAATTCACTACCTTAATGAGTGTCCCAATTACCCCCAATGACAAAACAAATTGTGACCTATAAGGGCCATGCTTAAGACTCATTTACATAAATCTTCTTCAAATCTTACATAAAGTATGCGTTCGCTTTTAATTCCCGTCGTCGCTGTAAAAGATTTTAATTACATATAACCGATATCGATTCTGACAATTGAGGGCGTCTTACTAGAAAATGGCATGTATGTTCTGCCTGGGTTTCGGGTAGTCATACAATGGTCATCGCTAGTGAAACCGACCAGGGACTACATTTAAATCGGAAATGAATGAAATTAATTAAATTTAGCGTAGATAAAATGCTTCCGTCAGGAACACGAAATATATCGTCGCCGAATCGGCCAATAAACGCAGTGGGTGCATATAAAGAGGAATATGCCTGTTATAAAAGCATGTTTATAGTATTCTATTACATTTACATAGTTTCCCTTTGAAATGAGATTCATTCGCACACTATAGAATATATGTTCGCTGCGTTATGATCTACGGATCCATACTTTGGGTTCGCTGAAACCGCTGATAGCGTCTGTTTGGAGTCTTGCTTGTCTTTAAGGGTGGTCGACGTGGCCACATCCGGCGATGTGGAAAATTCGATGATATTGTCAGTGGTTTTCTTCACGGGAGAAGATGGTGCAGGCGGAGGCAATGTGTCGTATATATTTGGTTCGGCTACCACGTACGCCTGAGAACCAGACTGATATTGATCTGGGCGAACTCGATGTTGCCAGATCTGAGTGCTTAAATGCCGGAAACGGGGATCATCGCCCAATGGTCGCCGGGAATCACAAAAACACTGACGTAGGGCAGACTCAACAGCCGCCTCGACAAGGTAGAAGTTAATTACACCAAAAAACAACCCACTGGTGAAAAACATCGTCACTGATATATAGCCCATGGTTAAAGGACTTTCCGTTGTTATTGACAACGCCACTGAAACAATAGGGACGAGGCCTCGCAAGGAGACGGTAGATACGACGCCGAACGATTTAACGACTTTGTAAAAACAATGATCCCGCAAGCTGACTGATTTCAGGTATTTTCCAAGTTCAATGAAGAAACTACTTCCTTCCGCAATGAGGCCAATGACGCCATACACTCCATTCTCTTTGCTGTCCAATAACACGGCGTACGTTACTACGGTGACCACGTGGTGGAGGAGATTAGCTTTAAAGTGTTTTTCGATCCCGAACGTGAATAGCTCACGGAAGCTGCGGAATAGATATATGCCCAACATAACCGAGAATGCTACTTGGGTTGCGTTATCAATGGGCCCGCTAAAGGGTTTTTCCATTACGTTTGATGAGTACATAAGGTATAATCCAACCACTGGCATGCCAAGCTGCGGTAGGAAGTCAACATAACTGTAACGAAAAAAAGAGGATAGGTTACTGCAACGAGCATTGAAGAAATGATATGCGTATTGCGTTTATAACTTAAATAATTATTCGTGAAGGGACATGTCTCCGATTTAGAGTCATTATCTTTATAAAGCGCCACGGCGCGCATCACGCGGCGCGCGTCTTTATTTCATTATATTTTATTAACAATATATTTTACATGCGTTGGTTGCGTTGCAAGGGACCCCTATCGGACACGACGCGTCTCAAGCGACAGTGGATTTTTAATGAAATGAAATTATAGTGTTTCAAAATATGCCAAGTTACCGATGATTTCTGAAACATGTCGCATACCAAGAAAATACATACTAATAGATAATCATACTGGTAATTTTGATTGTCGGTGGGTTCTTACTGCAACTGTTTGTTGTCATTTGCAGTCTGTGCCTGTTGTCTGTCTGTTAATAACATCATAAAGATAAAAACCTCTGTTTTACGTCAATGTTAACACGGAAACCCCGACAACGTTGGGATTCAATGAACGAGCGACGGTTCGTGATTTTCTCAAAATCAATACATTTCATGGGAATGTACTATACAACAATCGTCATTACAGACACAGGATCTTGGGTCCGCGTCCAAACTAGTAATAACTTAAAGTAGCATTGAAAATATTTGAAGTATTGAAATTAAAAGCCACTACGACTGATAAATATGGTATATATTAGGCAATATTTGGTAGTCGTTGTCCTAAGTAGTTATTCCGAAAGGCATACTTGCCACATATAAGTCCATGTTCGGTTTTAATCTGATTTTTCAGATAAACAAGACAGCGAGAATCCAAAAGTTACGTCATTGGAAAAAAGGAACTAAAATGCGGAAGGCAATTTAAATTAAGCTTTGAATTGTTATGAAAAATAATGTGTTTGTAATAAATAACTCCATAGAGAGAACTTCTTTAAATATCTAAATAGACAGATCCATAGTTTCCCGCTCAAAATGGTTGAATACAAAACTGTCACCAACGTCCCTCTTGTCAATACTTCGTTATTATTGGGCGACTATCGTAATGTTACGTTTACTGCGGTGGTCGTCATGCAACAAGTGTTTTACTTTCATGTAAACAAACAACTGTTATTTTACACGTGCGTTGTATACGCCCCACTTGGTCTTATAACAAACACAACGGGAAATAGTGGGGGAAAAAACATTATTTACTATTTATTAAACGCGTAACGCGGGATCTCGCAGCGAAAGGGAAATGGTCTATCGTTGATGTTTTGGGAGAGCTTAAAATATAGTTCTCTTATTTGCGTGGTTACGTCATTTTCTTGTGTTTTTTTATTTCAACTAGTAAACGCCTTTCTAATTTTAGAATTCGTTTCATCTTTCCCTAGTATTACTTATGTTATGAATATAACATACATCATTTGAGATTGAGTCGGATGTTGGAAGAATGACAATGTCAATGAAAAGGAAACTGCGTTTTAGAGAATTCACTAGACATACTTTGCCGTGACTCAGGTCCCTGTCAAAGGTGTACTAGTATTCTGTTTCGATTTAAGTGTCAGTGCCAGTGGGGGCGTAGTATATATTGCAGCAACAGCGTTACAAGGGCGAACAAATGGCAGTGGTTGATCAGCCTGGTCTGAAATTTCAATTGGGATTTTCTCGTCGATGGTACTTGCCGTGATCCTCCCATGATCGAGTGTAAAACAAAAAACAAACAGTTTTCCCGAACTCCCCTCAGTCCACCGATTCAAAACGGGTGGTCACTTTTCAATAGGAACCCTGGATTCAGAATGGCCCGCTGGTCTCGATTTCCAATCATACAGCGTCTTGGATTGTAGGAGCCAAATAAATAACGTTAAATGCGATGATAGTTGTGATTATGTATTTTTTAAATACAATATTATATTTTATTTCTAAAAAGCAATATGCTACATGGTTTCCGGCATCGTATCTATATATTACCATGTGTATGCCTATTTCCTGTTCTGATTCCGATCGACACCTATGATCGAAGATACCGCTAATCAAAATGGACCATCGTCATGTTATTGAAAAGATGTCTTCTACTAATTGCTTTATTTTCTGACTTTATAGTATCCATATATGACAAAAACAAAAATTTCAGTTGCATACACTCGTGTTTAAATATGTAAATATGAATATTGCATTTATGCCACTGCGTTTGTCGTAGAATTGGCCACATGATCATGACGAGTTCCATTAAACACATCTTCGTGCCTTCGCGGTCACCTTGGTATCTTGGTCTGATCGTCTAATAAAAAGATGTCTGATTTTCGACCTATTCAACTCGTATGTTTTACTTCCGTAGTGAAAACAAGCATTAAGCAGCAATGACGACGAGGCAACTGTTCTCGTACATGCCATCACAGGGCACTTTCGAAATGGAACGCATAACACAGGTATATTCACTCTTGAACTTTGAACTTTATTCATCGTTCTTGTCCAATCACAGATAACTAATAGTTGCCAGATTCTTTTTATTCCACTGATGAATTTAGTATTACCGCCATGAGAAGTAACAATTATACTAGCGAGTAAAATAATCCGTACGTCACCCATTCCGTTACAACTCGTAATTCCAAGCATACACGGATACTAAAAAGGAACCATGATGCATACGGGCGGTATATTTTCTCCGTATTTGAAAAATATCCGATTAACTAGGCTTGTAAAATGTCCCACGCGTTGATTCGTCGAAAACGTCAAGGTCATTCACGTCTATCCGGTCGATCGTCAATTACAACTGAATTTCAATATCACTTAATGTGGTGTCTGTGTCAAGGGTGGGGTCAGCGGTATCTGTGTTTCGGACTATGTCCGGCTGTGTAAGATTTAGCGACAACGTCTCTGAATAAACACGGCTCTTTCGGACAATCACGGTGACATTCAGTGCGAACGTGGCGCTCGGCGAGTGTTGAAAATCATTTAGCCAGAATTGAATAAATGGTAAAATGGAAATACCTTGTAATATATAACATTGATTCGAGAAATTATCAGACTAGACTACCCGCGCCCACCCCTCCGCACAGCGTCGTGTTCGATATAAGCCCCGTGCGATGTAATCAACGCGTGTAAAATAGTAGTACACTGTGCTTTATTTATGTGAAATATTGGAACACACATTTAACAGAGAACGAAAAAAATGCAACACCATCGTTAAAAATACCTCAAAACTAAATATGTGACTGCAATGAGAGAGTGAGGAAAGTGAACCGTACTTACAATCGTCTGGTTTGTTCTGGGTAACACGCATGCACCAACTTCAAAGACTCCGTACCTCGCTCGGAGAGTATGCTCGGTAATAACTTATCGATACAAATAAAGGCGGCAAAGTACCAAATGATACACATATTGATGGTCGCCGAGGCGTAGAGTAGCAGTCGTCCATCGCAGTACTGAGTTTGAATTTCTTCGATTGCCATTTGTCTCTGAGTATCAACGAGCTTCAACAAGTTTTGACTAAACAAGGTAGTGCGGGGCTTAGTTTATACCATATAATAGAGGGTTAAAAAAAGTAAATATGTAATTATGGGGATTTCCCCTTACCACTCCGTATGTATGTATGCGTGCAGAAATGCCCACGTCTGTTCCGCGGCGTGAGTTCTCCCTCCTGTGACGCTGATTCCGCGAAATCGAACCACATGGTTCGGTGGTCTCTTTTTGTGGTGATAGCGCTCGGGCTAGCACACACAGAATTGTTAAACATAATCCGACCCCAGCTACCGAGCTGCGTTATTATGCTACGTCTTCGCGTGGATGCAGTAATTTGGCACTGTAATGAGCTGACTTGCAGCATTATAGTGACTAAAATGGTACTAAATATGAACGCGTTACATTCCTATCGCAGGGCACTAGTATAAACATTGGTGTTTCCTCTGCGATGTCATTGTATGTAGTACACTCAGGTTCCACGGATCTGTTTTAAATTAACTTGTACCAATCACAATCACAAGTCATATGCGTCACTAGACACGTTTGCTTCGTTAATGTTTCTTCTTTATTTCACGCCAAATTTTAGTAAATGTAGAATTGGTGAGAAACCCATGCACTTTTCGTAAAATGTGTCACAGCCTTATCCTGACAGTAGAGTAGCATCATGGCGAAAATTATGCCTTTAATCAAACTTAATTAATTGAAAGACATAAAATGATTAAAGTCACTCCAATACTGTAATTACTAACAGTGATTTATCGAAAATATGTGATATAAAAGCAACCCGGAAGTTGAACAAAATGATTTTTTATCGAACAACTTCCGGGATTCCGCGATATACAAATACACATAATACACCCCAGGTCATCGACCTCAAAGGTAGGGAAATGTATGTAGAGTTACTGCAAAGCACAGTTTGATGTGTTAAATCTTATCCCAAAAGAAAATTCTAAAGAACTTCATCTGAAGTGGAGATTTTGATTAATGTTTCCCAGTGTAAGATTTATAGCCCAAGGATTTAATATATATATATCCCAAAATACATACTAGTATATATTTTGCACATCCCTCCCCAGTACACAAATTATCCTTCAAGTATCCCCCTACGTGTTTTTCTAGTGCTTCCGCTAATGTATACAGATTGCTGAGGTCGCAATACATTGTAAATGTCAACCTGTCAAGTCGTAGCATTTCAAAAAACTTGTTCAATAGATTTATTAAATTATAGCAGTTTCAAGTAATAAAAAAAGCGCCTAATACAATCAAATCCAGATTGCTAGTAATTCTAGTGGACAAATTGGTCAAACTAAACAGAAATTGGTTGAAAATCGCGATACCTATTTACAAATTACGATCCATAAAGGTTGCTAGAGTACCATAGAACATTGGAACATTTTGGAATGTGCATACCCCGGTGTAGTAACACGACTACCTGCTGTGAGAGGTTATCTCGGATCAAGGTCGTACCCGGAAGTAAACAACATTTTGAACGTGTGGTCGTAATTGAGTTATCCAGAAACTGGTTGAATTTGTACAAAAGATGGGAGGACTACTGCCACACAAATATTATGAATCACGCTAACTGAAACTTGACGACGACAGCGAAAGTGGTTTACACCTTTCATTTCCACCTTAGTGTGGGAAGCCCGGGGTACCTGGATAAACAGATAACTCACGGAAGTGAACCATGTACGCTGTGTATCGTGGACGCCAGACATACTTTGAGTCTTTTACAGAGATAACATCATATGTAATCTAAATCCAAATTCATACTCCGTCAGTGGCGGATCCAGCCCCCCCCCCAACGCATGAAAATGCATCTGGTTTACGCATAGCTTCTTTGCAATTTACGCTCCGTAAATTTTAAGCGAAGCTTGGGCCCCCCAATACGCCACTGTATTCCGTTATATAAGGTTGAGAAAAAATACATGACAGCAAACTAACAACTAATACACAAATTACAATACTCTGTCAACCTTTTACAATACAGGTTTAACATTTTACATGTTCAAGATACTTATTACTGCATGTATTACGATGCATGGTCATTCCATTACTATGCCGGGTCAACGTATTACAATACGGGTTTAACATATTACACTACATGGTATACGTAATACATTGCTGGGTTAACATATTACAATACAATAGTTAACATCAACCTAAAACTGGTAAAAATGGGTTTGCGATACTTAATATAATTTGAAAAAATACTTGATTTTTTTTATTAAAGAGTAGGCTTTTACTTTATCTGACAAAACATATTGCAAATTCTAAATTTGTCAAAAAGAATTTGGTATAAAATTAAATAAACAAAACCATCGTTTATATTAATTAAATGAAATACCGAACCTCTTTGTCGGGTCGCTTTACACAGTAACCGGAAATTGCCGGTAACTGATTTTGGGCAAGTGTACGGAATTGGAATTACCAGTTGTCTCACCAAGGTCGTTATAATCAGTCATTGCCCGATATAAAACAGTCGAAACCTGAATAACACAATAAAAACATGCCCTTGTGTTCCATTCTGTTCCGTTATCACGTCAACTTTTCTGATGATCCATGTAACCATGGAAATATAAACTGTGCTATGTGAATGAGAATGAATTCTCATCACATGCCTGGGAAATGACAGGCGGGTGAAATCCAAGTTAATCATTTCCTTTTCAAGACCACGTCCGAGTGGGGGCTAAAATGAGAGAGGGGCGTATCACATGATAAACAGTACAGTAGTACCGTGTACTTAAATTATTGAAACACGCGAAATTTTTCGGAAGGAATTAAATTGGTTACATAACAAGGACAAAAATGCAAACCGAACACAAAATGTATTCAAAATACAACTGCTAATCTTAAAATGACTAAAGTGACACTATATGGCAAATGTAACAGTGTCTAAAATACAATCATATCTACGGACGGAAATAAAATACAAATCTCTATATCCTGTTAAATAATTTCAAGCCAAGTGAAATATAATAGATTGTAATACAAATAGATAAAATGGCGTGATATTATAAATGTTATTAAAATGTTATTCATCTTTCACTTTTTTCTGAACATGTATCACATCTTCCCTTTCCTTTGGTTTTTTTTAGTACTGTTTGTCTCCCGGATTCCATTTTAAGTGATGATTACTTAGTCGAACCTTACTATAGTTTTTGATCTAAATTTATTTTTGTAGTGAGTATTTTTCTATTTCCGGTAGGTTATGGGTTAGTTCTTTTTTTTACAGGGGTCATTGTTTATTTCATCATTCCAGTGCACTTTGAACATATCGTTTTTAGTTCTGTATTTGTAATTATTTTGTTTCAAGTTGTCTCAGAGTTTGGTTGATGATTGGGACGTTATTAGATTGTACCATTTAGTTTTTTTGAATTCATAACACGATTGTGGTTGGTTTTTTCATCAGCATTTAAATATACATTTGAAGCTGGAATCCCGTAATGGACGAGTTCTTTTTAACAGTGCGTGTTTTTTTTTCTCATGATCATAGACAGACTTTTTCCATTGAGTGCTCATCTCTTATCATCTCTCGGGGTCATCTTGTTCCTACATATCGCTTCGTATGGCGAATACTTCCCGGTGTAACAAGTAGATGACGTGTAAGGACATTTTTTTTAGCTGCAGTAAACCCAATATACTTGTTTGGGGTTCCTGAAGTTCCCTGGTTGCTTAGCTGCCGCGCGCGCGAATGAGATTGAATCGATATGACGTGGATTAACTTCCGGTCAGGAAAAATGCGCAATTTTAAGCAGTTATTTTACTTTACAACCTTCAGTTCTGGAACGTACAAATTGATTCTTTACTATAGACATCCAATGTTACCTTTAAAAGCTCACACACTTTCATAAAATAGTGTTTTACATTCACACACTCAAAATGAATACGGATAAAAAATGTATATCATTATGGTATCCGTACGTGCCCTTATAAAATATTTCGGGGGGGGGGGGTTACAGGCATGTATATTCAACTTACGCACGACCTGTTGTTGAAATCGACCCCCTTTATGTCGCGAGCGCGTTCAGTAACGTCGAAACTAGCACACCGGGAACTCGAAACTCGTCTATTCTCGGTGCTGTTTAATGTGATACCCTCCTATACTACACGATGATTGAATAGAGCACGATCCAGCGGTCTTGTATCATTAAATTTGCATTCCTACTTTGTATTATATGGAGAAAACCTCCTATTGATTATTGTGATCACCTCGAAAACATGGTAAAATCATTTAGTATGGCAACCTATCCTGAAATATCGGAGCACTGAAGCTGGCCCGCAGGAAAGGTCGTACTGTCTAATCACAAAGTTCTCATTGTTGCAATCATTGAAGGCAACTTTACTTTATTGAGAACTTCGATTTCAGTATTCCGTCAGATAAGATTTCTCACAAACCATGCGAAATCCAAACTACTTTGGTGTTTAGAAGGGTCAGTGAGGGGTTGTCTACAAGTCATACTATGTAGGAATGTTAACATCAAATGGAATGGCTGAGACATCCAAGTGGGAAGACAATTTGCCTCAGATCAATCACTGATCAATACTGAGACATACTTGAAGAAAATCAGAGAGCTATAGAAGAAAATCAGAAAACTATAGAGCTTCAGCCGCCCAATGCACTTTTTTTACATTTCAAACAATAATTCTTATCAGTTGACACACATTTAAGCATCTTATTTCCAAGTATCAAAACAGATGTGAAAAGTAAAACTAGAGAAAATTACCACAACGGAATACGAACTGGAATGAACAATACATAGAGATTTCGCAAAACAATCTCCAGCATGATTATTTCAATTTCCCTTGTAAAACATGGTTAGGAGCAATCGCTTCTTGCCTCTTTGATACATTCAATACTATAATGATCTCGACATATTACTGTGAACTATACTAAAGTTGTCCCGAACGATAGTTGTGGTGTAATTTTCTTAACTTGTGCTTTCAGTGTATTCTTTAGTATTTTAGTTTTTAGTATGAGATTTATTGACAACATATTAAATGAATAAAATAGCTTAGTGATTGATCTCTAGGACCTTAAGAATTATATACATTTAATGTCAAGCAATATACATAACGATAATGTACCATTCATAACTGGCATGTGTGCAGGCCGGAGCTCTTTATGAATTGGGGAGACTAGGAAGAGATTTTGGGCCTCGGCTATTTATTACATAACACGTGAATAAGCCCAAAACACTCGTGTATCTATTTTGGGTTTTGAGCATTGATAACTTTGTTAAATATTGTCTTTCAAAATTGAATTTAGAAAGCCATAACAAAGAATGTGTAAATCCATTTTAAACTAAGTGAAATCGACACAATGAATGAATGAATGCACAAAACCCAAAATTGTTTGCACAAGTGTTCTAATAGCAGCGAGTATAAGACTTGTTAACTGGAAAGAGGTGTGGTTCTTTTTTATTTTGTTTGAAAAGCAACATAAATGCCCAAAGCTTAGAAAGAACGGTATGCACAGTATATTCTAAGACCAGTTCTGCAAGTGGACAATTTCTCCATGTTCGACCAGCAACATATGTGCAATATTTTCATGGCAAAGACATATGTACTGGTCAATATCAACGTGGGGGTACATGTCACATTTCAATGATGTAATATGGCGCGCGCGTGCGTGCGTGTGTGTGTGTAACGGGGCTAAGATTTAAGCTAATCTCATATGTTTGCATATCCGCTATTATAATACCCAATTGCGTTCACGCACGGGAGAAAACGTAGTTTTCTCGCGCTAAAGAAAATAACCAAATTTGTTAGATTACTCAGTGCAGTAACCAGGATGTTATATATGTTAGTTCTACGGTTATAAAACATTGAGAAAGCTAAATTAATTCAGAAATTAATTGCAGAATAACAGCAGTACTTCGTCAGTTCATTTTTTTTCTTGAGAACAATGTCACTATAGATGTGCTCGCGTTGATATTCATGTCGGAAATGGCATACTAAAATGAATAGTTATGAATATAGTAGTAATTCTTCCAAATGAACATCGAACAATGGATGTTTTAGGCGTTCGCACACACTCCGTTAGTTCGTGCTAAGGTATGACTTCTGCTTGGGGATTTTATGACACCAACAGAATATTTGCCTGTTGTACTTAAATGACCTCAGCATTGAACAGAAAGGTATATGTATTGGCTTAAAGTAGGATTTAGATCGTGCTATAATCTAAATCTCCCGTTGGAAGAGTTGTAAACAGAAATTCCCATATGGTTACAACGAATAAATCTGTATCATATAAATCTCAGTTGTCATTCTGTCTTTTGTGTGCTTTTTTATATTTATTTGTGTGTGCAAAAGATTATCGATTTTCTTGTCATTGATGAATGTCGGCAATATGTATACATATACAAGTTAAACAACTTATGTAAATTCGATACATATTGTAAACATATACATGTATTGATAAAAAATAAATTAG